TCAATTAAGGGGTGCCTGGGTGGCTCAGTCAGTTGGGCATCAGACTCCTGATTTTGGCTAGGGTTATGGTCTTGGGTGGGGTCTTGGAATCAAGCCCTGCGATGGGCTCTGCACTCAGGGTAGAGTCTGCTTGTCCCCTACCTCTGCTCCTCCCCTGTCTCATGTGTGCACGCGCTTTCTCTCTCAAAGAAAGGAAGGAAGAAAGAAAGATGGAAAGAAAGAAAAAAAGAAAGAAACAAAGAAACAAAAAATCAATTAAAAGAAATTGATTCAGAAAGGTTAAAAATACCAGAAAGGACAAAGGTATACCAGGCAAATGCAATTAAAGAAAACATGGGTTGCAATCTTAATTATCAGACAAGTCAGGAACTCAGAACCAAAGGCATTAACTGACTGTCAAGGTCATGAAAAACAAGGATAGACTGAGGAAGTGTCACAGATTGGAGGAGATATGATGACTAAATGCAATATGGGATTCTGGGTTGGGGTCCGGAACATAAAAGGGATATTAGTGGAAAAATTGGTGAAATCTGAATAAAGTCTGGAGTTTAGTTAATAGCAATGTACCAATACTTAGTTTTGACAAATGTCATACAAGATATTAACACGAGGGGCAACTAGGTGAAGGGCATATGGAAACTTTGCACTAACTTTTCAACTGTTCTGTAAATCTAAAATTATTCCAAAATAGAAAGTTTGTTATAAAAAAGCATTAATTGAGGCAAAAAGGCCACAATTTACAATGAACATATAAAGTTATGACTATTTTTGTACCAAATAACATAGCAGCTTTCATAAAGCTAAGATATTAAGGAATACAAGGAAAAATAGATAACAGATTGAAACGCACTAAAAATAGGAGAAATTTAACTCACCTTTCTCATTCCAGGACAGATCAAATCAACAACAACAACAACAACAACAAAAAACCCAGTGAGAATATAAAAAAACTAAATAACAAAATCAATATTAGGCCAAGAAGAAAATCTCAACAAATTCCAAAAATTAGAACTAATACAACGTTCATTGATCACACTAAATAAAACTGGAAATCAATGTAAAATGGATCTTCCATCTGAATATGTAATATCTCTCTGTCAAACAACTCTTGGGTCAGAAGGGAAACTCAAATCAAAACTGCTGAATTTCTAGACAATGATAATGAAAATACTAAAGTCAGAATCCATGGATACAGATAAAGCAAAGTTCATAGCCTTAAAATACTTGTTTTAAAAACAAGGGAAAAATTAAAGGAATAAGCATCCAACTCAAAAAGTTAGAGGAAGAAAAAATAATAAAATTAAGAACAGAAGGAAAAAATAACAGTAAAGTTCAAATAAAGAAGTTAGAAAACAGATAACAATAGAACTAATAAATAGATGAGCTGATTCTGTTAAATAGAAATATGTAAGCCATTAAACAGCATAATCAAGAAAAGGAGAAAGCTGGGGCCCCTGGGTGGCTCAGTCGGTTAAGTATCTGACTCTTGGTTTCGGCTCAGGTCATGATCTCCAGGTCATGAGATTGAGCCCTGCATTGGGCTCTGTGCTGGGCATGGATTCTGCTTAAGATTCTCTCTCTCCCTCTACCCCTACCCCTCTCCTCTAAAAAAAAAAGAAAGAAAAAGAGTAAAAGGAGAAAGCACAAATATACAAGTTAGGAAATGAAAAGTTGGACATAACCATAGTAAGAGGACATTTTAAACATAAAAGACTTTCTTGTCCAACTCTGTGCAAATTGTTTAAGTACCTGGAAGACATGGAAAACATCCTAGGAAAATATAATTTACTTTAGTTTGACTCTAAAAGAGAAAAACCCATATAGGCCATTTTCTATGGAAGAAATAGAGAAAGGTATAAAGAGGTACTTTTCCCCAAAGGTACCAGACTATGATGCTTTCACAGGGGAAGTCTACTAACACTAAAAAGCAGTAATTTGAATGCTATTTTTATTTTCCTGAGTCTAGATGAAGGAGGAACACATTCAAATTCTTTTTATAAAGTGAGTATAATATTGATACCAAGATCTGACAACGATTCTACAAAAAAAAAAAGAAAATGATATAGACCAATATTCACTTATAAATAGCAATGCAAAATTCTTTTTTTTAGCAATGCAAAATTCTAAATAAAATATTAGCAAACAGAATCCATGGCTGTGTGGAGTTTATCCCAAGAAAGCAAGAATCATTCAATATTACAAAATCCATTAATATAATCTAACATATTATCAAATCTAAGGAGAAAAATCATATCATCGTTTTCAGAGATGCCAAAGAGTCATTTGGCAAAATTCAATACCCATTCTTTATTAAAAAAAACATTCAACAAGAGGAATATAAGGTTTCTTCCTTGATATGATTTAATTATGTGTGTTTGTGTGTGTGTATCTCCCCAAATACAGCAGTCCAGTATTTCACTTAACCAGGAAACACTAGCAGCATTTATATGCTAAAATCAGAAACCAGGCAAGGATGTCTACTCTCTCCACTATAATTTAACATTGTATTGGAGGTGACAAGCATTGTAATTAAAAAAGAAAAAGAAATTAGAAGTATAAAATTGGAATTGAGGAGGTAAAGCTATCATTATTTATAGATAAGATTATATAGCCAGAAAACCCAAGCAAATCAATATAAAAACTACTATAAACAAGATAAGGTAGCAGGATAGAAAATTAATATATAGAAATCATTTAGTTGGAGGATATATAGAAGAGGGGCATTTGGCTGGCTCAGCTGGTAGAGCATGCAACTCTTGATCTCAGGGTTGTGAGTTTGGGCCCCATATTGGATGTAGAAATAAATAAAATCTTTTTTAAAAAAGAAGATATATGGAAGAGAAGGCCCCATTTATTATAGCAACAGAAAAGGCAAAATACTGTCTTAGTCCATTGTGGCTGCTATAACAGAATACCATAGAGTGGGTGGCCTACAAACAACAGAAATTTATTTCTCACAGTTCTAGAGGCTGAAAAGCCCAAGATCAAGGCAGACAGATTTGATCTCTGTTGAGAGCTGCTTCCTGGCTCATAGATAGCCATCTTCTAGCTGTGTCCACTGGGGCACTAATTTTACTCAGAGGGCTCCAACCTCATGACTTAATCACTTACCAAAAGCCCTACCTCCAAATACCATCACAGTGGGGATTAGGTTTCAACATCTGAATTTTGGAGGCACACAAACATTTAGTTTATAGCAAATGCCTCGAAACAAACTTAATAAGAAATGTCCAAAACCTTTATGACAAAACATTTATAACACTCTGAAGGAACAAACGGAAAGGCATCCCATGTTATTAAATAAGAAGATTCAGAATTATACAGATGTCGACCTTGCCTGCGCCCGCCCGGAGCCACCGGTTCTCCACTCACCCCACATCAGTGAGACGCGTGGCGCACCGACGCCGACGGAGCGGACATGGGCAGAGCGATGGTGGCCAGGCTCGGACTGGGGCTGCTGCTTCTGGCGCTGCTCCTACCCACGCAGATTTATTCAAATCAAACAGCTGTTGTAACACTTTCAAGTAACTCCTCCTCCCAGAGTACCTCAACTGCCCCAAATCCAGCTAATACCACCACAACACCATTTGGCGGAGCTCTGCAGTCATCAGCCAGTCTCTTCGTGATCTCGTTCTCCCTTCTACATCTCTACTGTTAAAAGACTCAGGCCAAGAAACATCTATACTTCCCCATCTTCTAAACCCAATCCAAATGGCGTCAGATATCCAGTGTGACAAGGAAAAAACAGGTCTTCATTGAGTCTGCTAATTCCACACCTTATTTTATTGACACAGAAAATGTTGAGGATCCCAAATTTGATTGGTTTGAAGAACATGTGAAGGGTTTGACTAGATGATGAATGTCTATTAAATCTACTGGAGTTTCATGTACAAGATGAAAAGACAGCATCCAAGATTAGTTTTAGAGAAAATTTCTTTAAATGTGGCCTAGGAAATATGGACATGTAAAATCCTACCTTGAAAATGACAATAGATTTTATCTTACCTAGATGTGAAAGATGGGATGTGAACAGATTCAGTTTTCATTTGGTTCATTAAATCTTTAAAGCCATAAAACAGTTAATACAAAAAGCTTCCATGATTCTATTTATATGTACATTAGAAGGAACTTGCAGGTGTTACTGTAAATCCTCAATGCATTGTTTCAGCAGTACTAACTTAATGCCTGTGTACTCTAGATAAAAGTTTTACCTTGTTAAGCTATCACTATTTCTTGGGAACTGAACTCTTTCCTCTGAGGCTTTGGATTTGACATTGCATTTGATTTTTTTTATATAGTAATTGACATGTGCCAGGGCAATGATGGATTGGAATCTACCCCCAACTGAAGCATAATGAATAAATTTTGCTTATATACTGATTACTTATTCCTATTCAACAAGAGTGCCAGATTCATTTAGCTAAACTGATTCCAAAGAGTAGATCATTGACCTCTGCTAATTTCAAAATGCTTTTTATTTCTGCATATGTTGAATACTTTTTATAATTTAAAAGATCTGTTTTGAAGGTAAAATTGACAAATCTTGAAATTAAAAAGGCAAAATATGTGCAGGAGCCAAAACTGTAAATCAAGTATTTGGGAAGTGAAGACTGGAAGTTTACATTAAATTTGGAAAAACTTTTATACTCTTTCTGTAAATACTTTTTTTTTTTTTAACTCTGAACCAGAATAGCCACATTTGGAACACTTTCTGTTAGTCAATATTTTTAGATAGTTAGAACCTGGTCCTAAGCCTAAAGTGGGCTTGATTCTGGAAAGTAAATCTTTTTACAACGGCCTCGATGCACAGAAAGCTTTTTAAAAGTAGACACTCTAAGGTCTTTTGTTCGCATGGTCACACACTGATGCTTAGATGTTCCAGTATCTAACATGGCCACAGTAGTCTTGATAACCAAAGTCATTTTTTCCCACCTTTAGGAACCTACACCAGAACAACCATACCCAAAAGATCTCAAGCTACTGTGTGTGAATGAACATTCCATTTTGTTCCATACCTGAATGCTGTACATCTATTTTGAATTGTATACTGTGTTTGTGTATTTATGCTTTGATTCATAGTAACTTCTCATGTTATGGAATTGATTTGCATTGAACAAACTGTAAATAAAAAGAAACGGCTGAAAGAGCAAAAAAAAATTATACAGATGTCAAATTAATTTATAAATTTAGTATAAACTCATTTAAAATACCATTTTTTCTCTTTTTCTGAAACTAGACAAGCTGAATTAAAGTTCAAATGGAGGGACGCCTGGATGGCTCAGCCGGTTTAGCATCAGACTCTTGGTTTCAGCTCAGATCACGATCTCAGGGTTGTTAGATCCAGCCCTGCTTCAAGCTCAGTGCTCAGCAGGAGTCTGCTTGAGATTCTCTCCCCCTCTGCCCCCCCCGCCCCCTCCCGTGGCTCACGCACATGCACGTTCTCTCTCTCTTTCTCTCTTAAATAAATAAATAAATAAATAAAATCTTTTTAAAAAAGTTCAAATGGAAAAATAACGAGCAAGCTTAGCCAGGATATCTTCAAAAAGGAAGAGCAATGATATGGGACTATTGCCATACTAATGCTCTGTAAAAAGACAAAATGAATATTTATGTACCAAAACCTAGAGTCTGTGGGTCATTTGGGAGGGTCTACAATCTGGATCAAGCTCTGCTGATCTCAACTGGGCTAGCTCATGTGTCTGCACTAAGTTGATGGCTTCACTAGAGATTGGCCACTATAGGATGTCTTAACTGGGAGGACTGGGCTCATTTCCACATGTCTCTCACATCCTTCCAAGGTTAGCTTGGGTATGTTCTTGTAGCAGTGGCAGGGGTCCAAGAGAGGAAACAGAATATGCAAGAGCTTTTTCAAGTCTCTTCTTAATATCAAGTTTGCAACTATCCTGTTGGTTAAAGCAAGTTATATGGCCACACTCAGAGTCAATAAAGCAGGGCACTATGAAAGGGTGTGGATACATAGACACATGAGAAATTGGGGTCATTAATGCAATCCTGTATCACCAACAACAACTCAAAATCTAGAATCCATAAAAGAAAACATAGATAAATTTGTTTACATAAAATAAAATAAAACTTGCCTGGAAAAAATCCATTAGCAAAGTCAAAAGGATAACAAACTGAGGAAAAACACTGACAAATCATATGATTCACAAAGGTCTAATCTCTCTAATACATAACAACATTCTAGAAATCAAGGAAAGGCCAATAATCCAACAGAAAAATACAGGATATATATAGACAATTCACAGAAAAAGACGTAAAATTGACCCTTAAACATATGAAAAGATGCTCAGCCTCACTCATAATAAGAGAAATGTAAATTAAAACTACCATGAGATACTATTTCTTACCTATCACATTGTAAAAAATCTAAGTCTTTAACAATACAATTTGTTGGTGAGGCTGTGATAAAACAGATAAACTCATACGTGGGTGGTAAGTGCAAAATGGTATACCTATGGAGGGAAATTTTGGCAATATCTACAAATATAATTATTGGAATGTATCTTACATAATTACAAATATAATTATTGGAATTTATCCTACATAATTATCTGCATATGTATGAAATGTCTATTCATTATGGCACCATTTGTAATACCAAAGGACTAAAAACATTCCAAGCATCCACAATAGGGGACTGCATTCATTAAAAAAAACCCTATTATATATCCACATAATGTAACACTTTGAATAAGTACTCTATACGCTTCCATACAGTGACTTTCTATGTACAGGAAACGCTAATGCTCTGATATGGAAAGACCGCCAGGATGTATTATTAAGAGAAATAAGCAACATGTATAACAGAATATACATGGGTAAGAAAGGGGGAGAGGGAATAAGATACATTTATGTTTGTTTGTATCTGCATAAAGAAACACTGGAAGAATAAAAAATAAACTAATAAAACTGGTAACTGTGAATCAAAACAGTATGGTACTGTCATAAAAAAACAGGCACATAGATCAGTGGAACAGAAATAAACCCATGATTATATGGTCAATTAATCTGTGACAAAGAAGGCAAGAATATATAATGGGTAAACACAGTCTCTTCAACAAATGGTGCTGGGAAAATTGGACGGCTATATGCAAAAGAATAAAACTGGACCACTTTCTTACACCATACACAAAAATAAATTCAAAATGAATTAAAGACCTAAAATGTAAGACCTGAAACCATAAAACTCCTAGAAGAAAACATAGGCAGTAATTTCTTGGACGCCAGCTGTAGAAACATTTTTCTAGATAAGGAAAACAAAAGTAAAAGTAAACTATTGGGACTATGCCAAAATAAAAAGCTTTTGCATGGCAAAGGAAACCATCAATAAAGTGAAAAGGCAACCTACTGAATGGTAGATGATATTTGCAAATGATATATCTGATAAGGGTCGATATCCAAAATATATAAAGAACTTATACAACTCAACACCAAGGAAAAAAACCAATACAATTAAAAAATGGGCAGAGGGCCTGAATAGACATTTTTCCAAAGAAGACATACAGGTGGTCAACAGACCTATGAAAAGATGCTCAACATCACTAATCATCAGGAAATCCCAATCAAAACCACAGTGATGGGATGCCTGAGTGGCTCGGTCAGTTAAGCATCTGCTTTTGGCTCAGGTCATGATCCCAAGGTCCTGGGATTGAGTCCCGCATCAGGCTCCTTGCTCAGCAGGGAGCCTGCTTCTCCCTCTGCCTGCCGCTTCCCCTGCTTGCTCAGTCTCTCTCTCTCTCTGACAAATAAATAAAATCTTAAAAAAAAAACCCCACAGTGAGATATCACCTCACAGATGTCTGAATGGCTATTATCAAAAAGACAGGAAATAACAAGTGTTGGAGAGGATGTAGAGAAAAAGGAATCCTCCGAAACTATTGGTGGGAATGCAAATTGGTACAGCCACTGTGGAAAACAGTATAGAGATTCCTCCAAAAATTAAAAATAGAATTATATGATCCAGTAATTCCACTACTGGGTATTTACCCAAAGAAAATGAAAACACTAATTTGAAAAGATACCTGTACCCCTATGTTTATTGCAGCATTATTTATAATAGCCAAATATGGAAGCAACCCAAGCATCCATCAATAGATGAATGGATAAAGAAGATGTGGTCTAGATCTATATCTATATGAAATAGTAGTACTTATATATATATATCAAACTTCTTATCAAATAGATCACTGGCCTTTGAACATAGGGATGTTTCAGTGATGTGATACTTTTCAGTATAATCTGGTTAACAGAGCATTCTGAAGAGGGAGATTGACTGTAATGTACCTACATATCTCCATCATGTCTTTGTTAATTTTGTCTTTCCTTATTCTAGGGGAGTTGGCCTGTTCAGTTACTGGGTTGTCTATTTACTACATTAAAGAAACAATATACAAAAATCAAAATTAAGGAGGCATTCTCTACTTCCTTCCTTCGTTCCCTCTACTTCCTTCCTTCCTTACAGTCTTTGCTGTCCCTTTTTTGTACAATTCTTATTTCATAATGTTCTTTGTTGAACTTAAAAGAAAGCATTCTTAAGGTGGAAAGAAGCTTGAAGTCAGTATCTGTGTACCAAAATGACTGTACAAAGATACCAGATACAGATCAGTGTGTATGTTTTGTTTTTTATTTTTTTAA